AGAATGTCCGGAGAGGTTTCCAGGAGCTTCTTAATGAAGCGTCCAACTTCTGCTGAAGTTGAAGATTTCAAATTTGTATAACATATGTTCATAAGCTCCAATTCAATTGGAACAATCTTCAAGAGTAGATGTGCTAGCTTGAAGAGTCGAGAGTCTCTATCATTCTGATCATCTTCATCTAGCTCGGAGAGTTGAGCATTTTCATCAGTCTGATCATCCTCATCTAGCTCGGAGAGTTGAGCATTTTCATCAGTCTGATCCTCCCAAAGGAAGTGTCCTACTCTCTCAGCCATCAGTTGAAACAGAGGTAAGACATTCTCAACCATCTCATGTTTAATGCAACCATTCACTATCAACCCATGGAAATCTCTGACATTGCCACATACATTCTGAAGAACCTCATATTGAGTCACTCCAGGAAACATCTTTTCAGCACGATGCTTGGATAGATGATAGAGATTCAAGAGGAGGAAGTCCAATTGCTCATCCATCATGGTGGCATCTGATTTAGAAGAACCATGATACAAGCTGATACAGTTATCCATATTACCGGCGAGGCTAGTAAGGACATATTTACACCCGACGTCTTTGCGATCATCATCCAAAAGTGGTTGAAGCAGATTCTCAACCTCTTGTCTTTTTCTCGTCATTATATCTTCAAACTGCTCCAAATTGCAATAAGAAAGCTGGACATATGTACAAATAAATGCCAGCTCCAATTTTAGCTTTTCAACTAGATCTTTGTCAAGAGCTTTTTGATTTTCCTCATTCTCTAATCTCTCTAGGAAATCCAAAACATCGGCAATGTCCTTGTGAAGAGCAGAAAATAACACCTGCTAAACATATCAAATTTTTAAAGCCACATATCTACAATTCAATACTTTACAGTTCACTCTATCAAATAGCTTACCAATGAGTTGTTTGCTTCTTCATTATCTTTTCGTTTTTCCATGATTGTAATTTTCCGTTCAAGTTCTCAAGACCTGATGCATAAAAAGTATATAAAACTTTATCAGGAGAAAGAAGATGAAAAGATAAGAATAATCAATAATTTCACTATTTTCACGCGAACTTAAGAGGAGGTCTTAATTTCTGGAAGATGATAAAGGTGAGTCTATTGATTTTTGACAGTTTCTGTATAATATATATCAAACTAGTCAAACATCAAATGGTGCATAAAGAACAATTGTATAACTTGACATATAGTAATTTTAGATTCGCACAATTAGTTTCTAACACTGGAAGTGTCAATCTTAATCACACATCAAAATGTTTATGACACGTAATCACAAACATATAATCTCACAACTGTTAATTATTTACAAAAAAGGAGTTTGAAATATGAAGAAGAAAATGGAAGATCTAAATATTCAATGAAATAAAGTGTATCACAACTGTTAATTATTTACAAAAAAAGGAGTCCTGCTCGTTTACCATTACTTTTCCAACCTATATGAAGAAGAAAATGGATGATAATCTTTTTTGTACACTTGCGATTTGAATTGAAGAAAATGACTTGTAAAAATGGGGTTCATCCATAAACGAGACCCGAACCTTTCTATCTAATAGCTTATAGTAATATAATTTCATTAGTGAGGGGAATCTATCGTCATCTTAGAAAAAATCTAAAAGATCTGCTTCTATTCACTCTGCACTCTCCAACCCCCTCCCTCTCACCCGGTAAAAATTCACCCGCACCGGATATTAATACCAAACTAATACAACTTATCATGGGTAAGTAATAATTTAATGAGGTGAAAGTATACATTAACTAACCACAATTAAGTGATAATATCATGCATCTGTTGATTTGTTGTTAACCGCTGGTGTGAGCAAGTATTTAGCCCTCTCTCTTTCTCTTGCATTTTGTTTCCCTTTCTCTTTGTGAGATCTAACTAACTTACCAAAGTTCTTTCATTTTCCATACATCATTTTTACTTTTCCATAATTGTACTTCAGTAGAGATGAGAGTAGCAAATATGAAACAACAAACTATTAGATGAGTTGACTAACCTTTTTAGTTGATGAAACTATATATCCTCTGCTTGCTTTGTTATTTGATCAAAATTCTGGAAATAGACAGAGGAATAATATGATGCATAGTATTATTCTAAAAAGTCAAGAAAGCAAAAGCATGAATCAATTACAGTGGGGCCTCCTCACATGTCTGCCACAAAGGAAAAAGATAAGAAAATTAATCATACTTACAATATTCTGCTCACTTTATATCACTTCCTTAGTTTTGTTGTATTTGGCACTACTATATATTGATCATGAGAGGGGAACATGGGTTTACGTGAATTTGGTGACCGCCTCAGCATATGTGATACACCCCTGCCCTCCAGAATACAATAATGCAATAATATCGTACAACTCAAGTAACTCCAGATTAGTTGAAGAGTCCAAAGCTTCGCAAAAAAAAAATATCTTTCTTCAACATAAAATTATTCTCGAGTAATTTCCCTAGATAGTCACTCATATTTGAAAAAGTACCTAATAATATCACTTTTGTTTGTTTTAGGACTACAATATCATTCAACTTTGCATATTTTCCTCAAAATATACTTAACACAAAAAAACATATTTTTCTCTCTCCTATGTCACGTTATTCCTTTTTTACTAATAATTAAAAAAAATTAACTTTTTAAATCAACCTAAATGATATACTCGGTTAAAATAATAATTACATAACACAAAGTGAACATTTTTAAACAACTCATATTTATTTTTTGTTATTACGATTAACACTAATTATTTATTCCAAATGATTCCTTCTTTAAGTTCTTATAAAATGCGCACGGTGAACATTAAAAATAAGTAAAAGTGAACAAAAAAAGAAGAAAGAAAGTGATGTTAAAGAACAATTTTCACGTACTCGTAAAATCAAAAGTATTATATCAACTAACTCTTTTTACGGGTTTTTTTCTAGTAACTATTCTTTCTGTCCATTTTTATTTATTCATTACGTTATAAACAATTATTCATTTGTTACTTGTTTACTTTAGAGAATCAAGTGATAATTTATTACTTAATTCCTAATTCACTCTTATTATTAACTAGTGATGAGTTGACTAACCTTTTTAGTTGATGAAACTATATATCCTCTGCTTGCTTTGTTATTAGATATATAGAGCTCAAAATTCTGAAAATAAACAGAGGAATAATTAAGACCAAATATGATGCATAGTATTATTCCAAAAAGTCAAGAAAGCAAAAGCATGAATCAATTACAGTGGGGCCTCATCACTTGTCTGCCACAAAGGAAAAAGATAAGAAAATTAACCATACTTCCAATATTTCTGCTCACTTTATATCACTTCCTCCGTTTAATGGTTTTGACACTAATATGATCTGAGAGGGAGCATGGGTTCACGTGAACTTGGTGATCCTCTGCGTACGTTCTTGCCTTCTAGGATATAACAATTCAACAATGTCGCATAACTCAAGCAACTTCGAATTAGTTTGAGAGTTCAAAGCTTCACAAAAAGAACATCTTCCTTCAACATATTATTACTCTCTTTTATATAGTGAATATAATTGAAGACTTTAAAGTATTTTTCTTTGTCTCAGCTCTCTTTTTCACTACATTAATCCTCGTCCTTTTCACCCCACATTTTCTTGTATATCTCTTGTTATCAAAACAAAGTAAGACCATCACTATTCACAGGTGAGGAATACTTCCTTGCAATAAATAAAAAGATTATAGAATAGTAAATGAATAGCCCAAAAGTTACATAAGTTACAAACATAATGAGGTAGAATAATGAGATTCAAAAGTCTTCTTTATTATCTTAAACTCTATCTCATGTCAAAATAGAACAAACAAATTGAAATGAAGCCAAACCTTAAAATTTATGGATGCAAAATTCTAAATTTTTAAAATTACCGAGTTCTAAATTAATAATTTGTATTACTATATATTAGAAGAGTCTAGGATTTACTACCATTGTTCCAATAAAATCATTACAAATGTCCAATACTTACTATATAAAATATATAAGTGGGCCCCATCACCTTCCACTTAAATACTACATATTATATATTA